TATCCTTTTCTATACTGAGGACAGTCCTCTTATTTCAATGAATCCTTTATTTGCAGGGCTGTGCACTCCAGATCTCATTTAAAGAAAGGAGAGCAAGGGCCTTGACCATCAACAACAGCAGACTGAGAAGGCATATAGTTCTTTCCCATAGGAGATGTGTTGCATTTCTACTTAAATTTTAGCAATCATTCCTAAATTTGCACCTATACTAGTGATTTATTTATTTTTTTGCCACGTCTGGTGGCTAAATAGTGTGATACCTGGCTGGGAGATGGGAAGGTGATAGACAGCCTCAGAGGTAGGTATGAATGGTTTTTGCTGGTGTAAATCATAAATGGGATTTCTCAGTTTTTTCTGCCAGAGAATATATCCTGCTGATGTAGATTCAGGAGCTGGTAGGCTTAAGTACTGGCCTCGCTTTGAGGGAAATGGAAGGACTAGAGACTAGGCTTTTTCTTGACAAAAGGTATGGATGATAGTTCACTGATACCTGAAAGATTTGTGTGAGATAACTGATCAAGGTAAATTCTCTGGCTATTTCTAGCCCTAAACCATCTCAACTCCAAACAGATCTACTTGTCCCTGCCAGAACAAGATCATATGAGTGTAAGATCCCGAGTCACCATCACACAGCTGCAAAGTGATGTTTCTAAGGGGGAGATTAGCTGCAAAAAAGAAGCAGGTGGGAGGGGGATGCTTAGCCCATCTGCTGCCTGCTTATTTTTTTCCTTTCAACTCCCTCCCCCAATCCACGTCCACCCCAGCTGTGGTTCAGATGTGGGTTTGCCATATTGGGATTGTAAGTAAAAATGGCTGGGACAGAGGAAAGTGGTGGGTGAGGGAAGGGTTAAGTATGCTCCTGCAGTCTGCTCTTTCTCCACTGCAAATTTCCCTTTCCACTGATGATCTGCAGCTGACCTGGGTTCCCCAAACCAGGCCTGTCACCAAGCATGTCATTGTGGCTCCACAAGACAAAGATGCTGCACAGCCTTCTATGTGGTGGACTTCTGTTCTTCACATGAACATGCATCATGGAAGTTTAACTCAAAAAGTATTTCCAGCCCTTTCCCATTATTCTCTGGAAACTAGAGCCTGGTCCTTTCAAAAGTTCAGAAATGTCAATGGGAAACTGCTCAGCAAGCACGTGGGGTTTGGGAGAAGTTGAAGGTAGGTACCTTCACATGTTGCAGCCAGCCTTACATCCAATTTGTGCAGAAAACAAAAGAGGTGGAGGAGCAATGAAAAATGTCTGTGGTTCTTCCACTCTCTGTAGTCAGGAATGCTATGCAAAACATAAGATGTGTCAACAGCTTTCATTGCCTACCCAGCATCATGAAAGGCCAGCATATCGTTCTGTGCTAGTCCTGGAACTTAAAAGAATTACAACCTCCGTGGTTATTTGGAGAGTGGCTCCTTCACTAAGCTGCTCTGGTTAAACCTGTCAGAACTCATGAGTAAACAGAATGTGAGTCCAGAAGCTGCAGTGAGGGGGGCTTTTTCTCAAAGATAAAAGGAAGAGGTTTGCTTGGGGCAATGTGGAATATAACTAGCAACTGTTCCGCATTAGCCGCAACATTCTTCTTTTCTACCACCCAATTTTCTTTTTTTTCGTCCTTTGGTGAAGAGTTTCAGCTCCGTAGCACACGTCGGGAGTCCCCAAACTGGAAATAATTAAAATACAGATTTCATTTATAGTAGACCTTATGTGAGCTGAAGTAAAGATTGCCAAGGTTTCCTGAGTAGATGATTTAATGATGTGTTCTGCATTTCCTGAATTTTCCACATTTTAACTGCCTTTGTGCTTGAATCTGGAAGAGGAGGAGGGACACTGAAAGCCCTGAAGGCTAGAACCCCAAAGATCTAGCTCTGGCAGAGGTTTCATTTCCAGTTGAATGCAAAACACAGGAGGGGGACTTGGGTTAACTTAGAATTGAAATATTTATTTCACTGTTGATTAAGTGCGTCTCCATATCCCCAAACCATTAAATATTAACATGTCATTGTCATGCCAGGGATGTTGGTGTGAGAGGATGGTTCAAGTATGTCCAAGTAATAGCCCCCAGTTTGCATGCTAATGGGGGAGCTTTCGGTGACCAAGCATAATCCTAGTTCTACCGGGGGCTAAACCGGAATGCCCTAAACTGAAAAAGTGTGATGTGATATAGCGTAATGTCAGAGAAGCCAAATATTTAGACATCCATCCAGGCATGCAGAAAACATCCACAGAGGCTCCCTCCCTTGCAGTCACCTTGGAATGGCACAGAGCCACTCACAAGGAAGCATGAGTCGTGAACCACGTCTTCTAGGTGGGTGGCATATGTGTGATGGTCATGGTTTCCAAAACTGCCGCGGCCAAAACTCCATTGGTAGCTCATTTTCCTTGGGAGAAAGCATGCAGCTCCTCTAATGTGCTATAGACTAAGAACCTGCAAGCCCTTGTGCATGCCTTGAGGAGCTTTCTTGGCCAGGATTGAAGAAGAGAACGTGAGAGATGGTGTAGCTGGAGAGGGAGATGATGTGACTGGGAGGGGAGATGGAGTAAGAGAAGCCACCCTGAGGAAGAAGGCAGGGACCAGAGTCAAGCCTCAACCACATAAGGGAGGGTTGTGTCCATAGTAAACAGATTAGGGAGGAGTCAGGAAGCACTACAAGAATGATAAAGGCTTGGGAGGGCAAGGACATCTGTGTCATCCCATCAATGTATGTGTTGTTTTACAAAGCATCAAAAGGGGGGAAAGGGACTCTAAAATATGATAGTGGGAGAGAGTACAAAGGAATAGAAGTTTACAAAGGTTCAGGGAAGTGGGCATGGAGAAGTTCAGATCATGCATGTCAGGACCTGGAGTCAAGCATAGGTCAGCAATAAAAAAGCATGGTGTCAGTGCAGTTAACGATTTGTTCAAAGAAACCAAAGCAGCTCAGGCCTGGTGATCCCAGCAACTCTAGCAACTCTTCCCAGTAGGTCTTGTCCCTATGAGCCGGTTGTGAGGACTGAAGGTCTTTGCCTTCCCACCACTCCCTAAGGCTCCTCCTCTCCAGGTTCTTTCCTAAACAGTCATCAGCTGCATCTGTGCACAGCCAATCTCTGCTCTGCTTGGCTCTTTGCATTTCTCTGCATGTTCTGGGAGACCAGTGGAGAGGGGAGCTGGTTGCAGCAGGAGGGGGAGACTCCCTGGATTCTTCAGCAGCCTGTCTCCACTCTGCCTGCTGACCAACCTTCTCTCCATCCTCTGCTTCAGGCCCGGAGTCTGAACTGCCCTCTGCCACAGCCTCTTCCTGTTCACCAAACCCTGTTACCTCTTCTGCCTCCAACACCTCCTCCCCCCAGCCTGCTCCTTCTCCCTTTGACCACACATTTCTTCTCACCACCACTCCCCTGACTCTGAGCCTTCTTCCCTGGGGGTTCCCTTGGGGGTTCCCCAGGTGGTGCCTCTCACCTCTCCTCTGCACCCAGCCAGTCCATGACAATGTGCTTAGGCTTGGCTTCACGGCTGGAAGTGGCTTTTGAGGCATGAGCAGTTTCCTCCCACAATGCAGAACAATCAGGTGGGCTAAGTGGCATTCCTGAGTCACGCTAGGGATCATCTGCATTGCGGGAGGGTCATCACACCGGTACAATGGGGAACTTCTAAATTGCAGATCATGTTGGTGTAATCAGTGTCTCCTTTCTCTGTGTCCTTTTGAAAGAATCTGTGGTCCGCAGAAACTCTCACGTCATTAATGAAGAGAGAACAAGTTGAATCAGAAGCATGCCAAACCCCCCCCCCCTTCACAGCCTTTGCTCTGAAAAATGAAGGGGGTGGCCTCTTTGACACCCCTCTGGGACTGGGCATGTGAGAGCTGAGAGATGCTGCTGATACCTGACTTCCTAGGAGAGGTGGATTTCCCCCCTGATCACCACCCTATATCAAATCTCTCCAGATAAAAAGGTAGGGGTTCCAGTGTTCTTGGTCCGTCCTTTGAATGCCTCTGAGGAATCACCTGGGATGATTTCATCCACTTATAAATCTTTGGTTTTTTTAAATTTGATGTCAGAAGCTGGTTATTTACTTTTTTTTTAAAGATATTTATTAAGATTTTCAATGTTTTACAAAACACACAAAAATAAAGAGAGAGAAAAAGAAAAGACAAGAAAAAATACAGGGTGAAAATATTTAAAAACAATTCTTTCCTTCCATTACTTGACCTTCATTTGCTTATTTCCAGGACCTCCTCACACCTTCCTTTTTTGTATTCCAGTTCAGTTATTTTGTTCAGCAAATCCCTCCCCTCCTTTAGTATCCTAATCATTGGTCATAAAAATATTGTAATTTTAGATTTTTACATATTACGTAATAAACCCTTTTTTCATCTTCCCTTGTAATCTTTCAGCTAAAGACCACTTAATTTCTATCCAACATCATTCTAACATTCCTTAATTTTACAATATTTCTGTAGATAATCTTTAAACTTTTTCCAATCTTCCTCCATCGACTCTTCTCCCTGGTCTCAGATTCTGCCAGTCATTTCCGCCATTTCCATATAGTCCATCACCTTCATAGAAGCTGGTTATTTACTTAGCCACAGGACTTGCTCTTACATATATTGACTCCTAGGTCAGGTGTGGTGAGCCTGGGGTTCAACCTACAAAGCCATTTATGGTGATCTACCCCCCTCTTTACGGTTGCGGAGGGCTCCTTTGCCACAAGGTCTTAGAAGGGAGAGGAAAGAAGCAAGGAGCAGGATACTGCCACCACTTTATGCCCCCGCTGAAAGAATCACACTGGTTGCCAGTTAGCTATCCGGCTAAGTTCAAGGAGCTGCTTTTGGTGTATTAAGTCCAATACAGCTTGGCAGCCGGATTCCTGAAAGATCCTCTCACTCTCTATATACCCAGTCCACCACTGCATTTTGCAGCTGAGGCTCTTCTGCAGTGGTCATCTTATTAGGAGGTCCATTCCACACAATATAGGAATCGAGCCTTCCGTGTTGTGGCACCTATGCTTTGGAATCCTTTCCCCTTAAATATGAGACAGGCACCACCATCTCTGTAGGTAACAGAGATGGTGGTGCCTGTCTCATATTTAATTTATTTTAGTGCCTGCTGAAGACTTTCCTCTTCCAACAAGCCTATTAAGCCTATTAAGTAGAGATCTTTCCTAGTCTGCATTGGAATTGTTCTTTCGAAATTTTTGCATGTTTTTATTGTTTTACTATTTGTGTGTTTGCCAGCCTGGACCCCTTTGAGAGGGAGAGTGGGTTATAAATGTTGTTGTTGTTGTTGTTGTTGATAAATACCCCCTCTGTGGAAAGTGTGTGCCTGCCTGTGTGTATGTTGTCTGTTTGTGGTGCAGGTGTGCCCAGCCTGGCATGTGGCACTCAGAAGGGTCACCAGCCCTCAGTGCTGCCTGGACGTAAACAAGAGCCTGGGTAGCACAGCCAGCATCTTGCATCCTGTCCTACCTCACAGGCTCAGTGAGAGAGTGCTGGGTTTTGTTACACTTGCATTTTAGAAATTGTCCCAAACTTTCAGACTCCTCAATTTTTGGTTTAAGATTGGGATTCATTGTCGCACTATGATTAAGGTTCCGTCTGTACAAGTATTTCAGCTTGCCAGATGGAACAATTCCCTCTCTCCTTCCCCCACATGCTGCTCTGGGGTTCTCCTGGCACCTGCCCAAGCCACTTTGGGGGGAGAAAGAGGAGGGAGGAAGCCCTGACGCACGAGCGGAAGCCCTTGTGCCAATGTGCCAGGCTTCCACAGACAGGGCTCACCAGAGGAATCCTGCCCTAAGCTTTGCAAATACCATTAATATAACTAAAGAGCAAACTGATCAATTAGTTAAAAGTCTTATTTTCATTAATTGATTGGTCAATAAACAAGCATCAGTTAGTTGATATCCATACTAAAATTACATTTCCCCCCATTAGGAAAAGCACTTCCTGCCCCTCTTTCTTTCTCTATATACAGCAGGTGGCAGCATTGCAGTGGAGCTTTGCTGGCTCCTTCGCATACGAAAAAGAGGTCTTTCCCCCATGTACATCAGCTGCAGCGAAGTTCTATCTGGAAGCGTTGTTGTTGTTGTTGTTTAATTGTTAAGTGTAAATTAATAATAATAATAATAAGCCACCCGTCTGACTGGGTTTCCCCAGCCTTTCTGGGGGGCTCCCAACAAAATATATAAAACACAATAAAACATCAACCATTTAAAGCTTGCCTTCAGATGTCTTTAAAAGTCATATAGATATTTATCTGTTTGACATTTGATAAGGGGGCAGGTTCCATAGGGCGGGTGCAACTACTGAGAACGCTCTTTACCTGGTCCCCTGTAACTTCATTTCTCACAGTGGGGGAACCATCAGTCTAGGAAGTCCAGGCTTCAAATACGACGCACCTCTTAATTTAATTGACTGGTGGAGGATCTATCTGACTCTGGCACTTAACAACACCATTGGATAACCTTTTCTCCTTTTGCGCCCATTGCCGTTCTGCATGAAAGGCACCCAAAGTGACTGTGTACAATCACTCAGAACTAAAGCCACACCACCACCATCATCTGTATGCTGCTTTCCCCCAGAATTGTGCCCAAAGTGGCTCACAACATGTCAAATGAGCAGTAAGTATAGCAATTCAAAAAGCATGTTAGAAACAATCAATAATATCGAATTAAGTACCCCCCCAAATAAATTCAAGCCATACACCAGTGTATAAAACTCTACAAATAAGCTAACCTAGTTTAACAGCTTATACTAAACAGAAGAGAGAATAATGCTAAGGCAAAAATGAAATGGTATAGAAAGCATTGCCATGTTCTAGATGATGTACTGGCAGTGACTGGTGCCCATTGGAATTGTTGGGGCAGAAGAGAGAGAGGGCAATTGTAGGTGGAACCAGAGTCCATGGCAAGCAGAGCTAGAGGCAGCAAGTGGAGTCAGCAAATTCTAGCTTTGACCCCATTCTCCTGTTAGGATATTTCTGTTCCACCTTAAAAGGGAGCAGGATGTTTGTGTCACAGCCTGCGTATTTCCTGTTCACAGGATGTTTCTGTTGTGTCTATGCTTTCGTTTCTCTCTCTGTGTCAGAGACACTGAAGCTGGCAGTCATGTTTTCTTTCTTCTGACCAACGCTGAATAAACTTGTAAATAATACTCTCCTGCGTGCATCTTTCGCTGTGCATTATCTGCTGATAGAGCGTGCATCGGCTCTGGAATGTGGCAGGCTATTCCTGGAGCTCGTGTCGCTAATTGCTGATACTGCGTGTCTACGGGAGATCAACGGACGTCCGGAGGCGGCTTGGGGGCCATGATGGACTTTGTCTCCCTGGCAGTATCCCAACACCTCCTTCCTACTGAGTTTTACATGGGGCAACTCTGAGACCAAGGAGAAGGAAACTGGTGGGTGGCAGTTTCCTCCCTCCCTCCCTCTAGGCACGAGAATGTCCCTTCATTGGCCATGAGGGGAAGGAGGCACTGCTGCTGCCCCAGCCCTGGAGGCTCAGCCCAGGTGCTGCTTGGTGAGGGAGGGAGCCTGTCGTGGGGATGGCTGGTTGCAACCCCTCGCACCCTTACAAAAATCTGTACCCAGGGCCACGCCCCCCAAACACTGGCCCTCCCCATGCTATTGTACTTCCTGTCTAACAGAGACACTCAGTGTGTGGGGAGGTCTGAGCTGGTTGCTCACTCTAACAAACCTCTTTTTAATTCCTACACCAGTAATTTAGAAACTTTCAGCACTGTAAGCCAGTTTTATTGGCTGTGCAATTTTTTCTGAATGCTGTATGGAAAAGCACGTGAATCTGAGCTTTGGAGAATTTGTAAGTACACCATTTTTAACGTAACAAATGTGTGGTCTTTTTCCAGGCTAGGGGAAGAAAGAAGTTTTTGGAAATCAGAAGGGCATATTTTAAAGGTCTAATAGCCTATATATATTCCATGCATTACTTTGCTGCATGTTTTGTGATTTTAAATCTCTGCTGGCGTTCTCTCACCAAAGAGTACTTGCCCCAGGGAAGTACTTGGCATTCGGGGAATTCTGCTTTATATACCTATATTTACCATGCCACCAACAGTTATAAAATCTGTTCACCTCAAACCTGTCAGTAGGAAGGCAGCCACATTCTGCACTAACTGAAGTTCCTGAACCATTTTTAAAGGCACCACGTGTAAAGCACATTGCAGTTGTCCACTCTTAAGTCTCCCAAAGCATAGTAGCCAAGTTATCCCTCTCCAGATACAGTCATAAATGAGCCACCAGCCTAAACTGGTAGAAGGCACTCCATGCCACTAGGCCACCTGTGCCTCAAGCGGCAGCAATGGATCCAAGAGAACCCTGGATTAAGAATTCACTCCTTCAGAAGGAATGTGATCCCATCTACAGTAGGCTGCACAGCACTCAGCTGGAGAGAAGAACCACCCACTAGTAGCATCTCAGTCTGGTTTGGATTAGTTTTCAGTTTATTGAGCCTCATCCAGTTCATTGTTGCAACTAAGCACTGATTCAGCACATCCACTGCCTCACCTGCAGAAGATGAAAAGAAGAATTCTGTGTCTTTGACATACTGACAACAATGCACTTCAAAAGTCCGAATAACCTTATCTGGTAGTTTCATGTAGATGTTGAAGAACATGAGGGACAGAACCATTTCCTGTAGGACTCCATACCTGACATACTCACAGAGCCAAGTGATGCTTCCTAAAAAAATACCTTCTGAAGCTATCCATTCAAATAGGAGTGGAACCTCCACAATGTGGTGGCCCCAAGTCCCTAATTCAGACAGTTGTACCAGAAGGATACCATGACTGATGGTTTCAAAATATCAGAGGTCATTCAAGGAGGATCCACAAAGTGACACTCCCCTATCTCCCTCCTGACGCAGGTCCTTGTACAGGGTGACCAAGGCCTGAACCCCAGTTGAAATGGGGTTTCAAATTCCTCCAAGAGTATCGGGGTCCGAGGTTTCCATTCTCTCCTGGTGTGCTTCATAGCTGTTTCCCTCTAGGCAGTCATGGAACATTATGGCTTCTTCTGCCATTACATCCTGTTTGGGTTTTTTGCGGAAATGAAGAATTTGTGCAGGTGGGTTGACAATTAGCAGATTCCATCAGCTATATTCTCATATATTCTGTATCTCATATTTTGTGCAGCCCATGTGGAAACCTAATCTGTTCCTGATAAGTCAATTGTTTTGGGGAAGAAAAATTGTTTTCATTTCAAAAATTTTAAATAGGTCTGCTCAGCATCTTCTGTGGTGGTAAATGCCCACAATTCCCAGTAACTTTAATGCTACAAGATCAAGCAATTTCTCCATTTTCTTTGTCAGCAAATATATTCTAAGTGAAAACACAATAACGTGATGTTAATAGAGACCAGAACCAACAATTGCCAAATAACAAATATTTGATAGCAGATAACATAAACAGAGAGCAGCTCAAAGGGATGTCCCATCTTAAATTTATTTTTGCTCTATTGTCAGCTGTTTTATGAAGTCTTTCATGTTTTCATTGTTTAGTCATGTCATTTCTGATGACATCTGTAAGAATTTTCCCATTCAAATTAGAGGAACTATCTAGCCAGCTAAGCAGTTCCCAGTTTGCCTAGTTTTAAACTTCACTATACCAAATAAAGCATTCCCTCAATTTTGCTGTATTCCTTCTGTTAAATGTTCTGAATGGTTTGGAATGAACTTGATCTCCTTTTCAGTTCATGGCCTGTTACTGGGAGGGAGGTTGGAGGTGAATGGCAAAGCTGTTTTAAGGGATTATTAAAGTCAAATGACTGAGAACATGCAAATTAGAACAGGTGGGGTGCAGAGTCCCTCAGGGAAAACCAAGACAAAAGGAGCCTAAGTAAGCAGCTACAAGTCAATGCTTGAATGGCAGAAGGCAGGTGCTGCCAGCCCCCTCCTTCCCTCTTAAATATCAAGTGTGTGTGTGTGTGTCTGTTCCCTCATAGCATGATCAGCCGGGATGAACAGGGTTACGATCCAGCAGATCTCTGGCTGAGCTGGGAGGTTCCTAACTCCTCATCCCTAGCCAGAGATACTCCATTGTGCCTGGTGGGTCTCAAGTTGGCATAAGCCCTAAGAGGG